TCTCTCTCTCTCTCTCTCTCTCTCTCTCTCTCTCTCTCTCTCTCTCTCTCTCTCTCTCCACCCTCTGTGTGTGTCTATGTGTCTGTGTGTCTGTAAGAGAGACAGAGAACCTAGGCACCAAGCAGGTGGGTAGATCTGAGGAGGAAGCTGCTCCTCATGCAGACCACCCCTCATTACATCCTTTATTCTTTTCCCAGTCTCTATCTACAGGTAACATACTTTTGCTCACTCACCCTGGAAGATGTGTCCCAGCTAGTGGGAGGAAGCTGCTATAGGAATAGAGGAAGGTAAGGTGAGGGGTAGGGAGCACATTCAGGCCCTGGGCTGTGAGAGCGCTTGAACCAATTCCCATGACAATGTACAGGGGACAGGAATAACATAGTGGTCCCCACACTGTGGGCCCTGGCTTCTATCACATGGCTCTCTGTTTCTGTTTCAGATACCCATATTGTGTTTGGGACCTCCAGATCTATGACACAGTAGCCAGAGGTCCCTGTATCTGGAGGTGCAGGAAAACCTGGTATATGGAGAACATGGATTCTACTAGGGACACGGCTCCTAACTACTAGCTCGCAACTTTAGTGGAGGCATGTCACTTGTTGAACTTTGATTTTTTTTTTCCATTTGTCAAAGAGACTGGTAACCTTTTCTTCATGGATGTCTGCAGGGATTAAATAAATTGGTGCATGCAAACAATTAAATGTGTTTATAGGATGGTGCTGAGCAGTGCCAGGGTCAATATTATTGCTGGCTGTTCATGATTAGTATTGCTATTGATTAGGGGAAGGATTAGCACCTTTTCTCCAGGGTCTCAGCAGAGATCTAAGGAAGCCAGCAGGTGGGAAGATGGAAGGTGGCAAGTAGAGGGAAGCAGAAGAGCTTTATGCTAATACTTCTCATTTGTAAAGAATGATAGATAGTTGTGGGCAGTCATCCCTACCCTACTCGGGATTCTTTCCATGCACTTCCCCTTATTTGTGTACACAGAAACATACACACACACACACACACACACACACACACACACAGCCCAGACTGAGAGGCAGCAGAGGCCTGGCTTGCAGCCTGCAGAATTCCTGGCCCTGGTATGTGTCCCTCTGTTGAGGGGAAATTAGCTAGAGTTTGGCTTATGGTCAGTGGTTGGCAGGGACTGGAGACAGAGCTGAGGCTTTTGAGATTATAGGGCTTTGAGCGAGCTGGGGTGTGGTCCATGCAGTGGCCAGACCTGTAGCAGAGATTGCTCATCTATACCCTGGGGTGGAAGAATAGGGTTTCCTAACTGGTTTCTAGGTATGGGGACGTGGGAGAATACCAAGGGGTTGGGAGTCAGCAGAGGAGCCAAAGGAGGGGAGAGATTGGAAACAGAGGGACAGGGAGGGCAGGGACCTTTAGCTATGAGAATACTTTCCTGAAGAAGCATTTGTTGTGGAAGGAGAGGAACTAGCCTGTTGCCCAGGGGCATCTCGACCTGAAACTAACTAAACATATATATATATATATATATATATATATATGTGCGCACAAATGACTGCATGTCTACCCTGTGTGTACATGTCTCATCACTGCGCTGTAGGTGTATATGAGTTTATGTGTGTGTCAACAGGCTATATGACAGCATATGGGATTCTGTGGGTGTCTGAATAGGTTTGAGTTTGTACTGGAGGGCATGGTTTTGCATGTCTATCTGGGTGAGCAAATGGTCATGTTTGATTCTGACCCAAGTATTGGCATGTTTCTCTGAGCTTGTATTAGGCCTATTGAATGTGTGTGTGTGTGTGTGTGTGTGTGTGTGTGTGTGTGTGTGTGTTACATGTCCAATTAAATGAATGCCTAGCTGGATCTGATTGTATATATTCCTGTTTTTTTCCACGTGTGACTTTCAGTGTGCATTCATCCAAATGATTTGTGTGAGTACAAAAATAGATATATGTGTCCCATGCATATAGGAAAGTATGTGTGTGTGAACATGCTTATATGTGTTGTAGGTGTGTCTTGCATATATTTGTGTGACCAGGCCTATGTGTAAAAGTCTGTATAGATTCTTTAGCAATTTTCATTATGTCTATGCCTGCATGTGCATGCTTGAGTGGCCACTGTCTCTAAATAAGCCTATGTGTTCATATCTATTTAAAGAAATGTAAGTATAAATAGACACACTGCAATAAGAGAAGAGTATATGAATGAAAAATATTTTATGTGTGCATAGACTGTGGTGTTTATAGCAGTGTGTATTCATCCACAAGGCTGTGTGCATAGGTGAATGGATATATCTGTATGATGTCTAGTTTGGTGTAAGTGCATATCTGATTATGGTATGCATGAGTGTTGCAGGACACTTGGGTGCATGTGTCTCAGTATGTGTCTTATTTGAAATTTTTAGTGTGACTGTGTATTTGACTATGTCTTGAGTGACTGTGCATATATATATATATATATGCTAGTATTTGTTAGTACCTGACTGTGCATATGTTCAAGTGAACACATCTGTACATAGGCATGTGTTGTCAAACACAGTTAAGGGTATATTTTTGAATAAGCCTGTGTGTATGCCCGTCTGAATACACAAATGTGTGAAGTACCAGTTTTCACAGTTTTATTTGCATTTGTATGTTTTTATCTTTGTTTGATCTAAAGCATGTATTATAGAATAATGTATATAAATTTATGTGCGTGCTACTCTTAGTCCACAAGTACATTTATGTGTATGTGTTTCCATTTATGGATGTCTTTGCATGTATGTATGTGATACGTGGATCAAATTTTCTTATGCAGAACAAGTGTGCGTGCAAGAATACATGAGTGTACTTCTATATGTGCATGTGTTGAAATATGCCCTTATGTTGTATTCCAATATACATTTAAGTTACTCTAATTTATGTGGCTTCTCAGAATGGGTGTGTGGATGTAACAGTATATATACTTGACTGTGATAGTGTGCTTTGTGAATATCTGTGTTTTTATATTTAATTGTATACCTATAAGAATGAGTTATTATATGTACAAGTCTATAAGCATGTGACTATGCTATGTGTGTACATGACCAGTTGTATATTCAAGTCTTTATGTTAGAATATCTGCATATGTATACCTCATCTCATTTACAAGCATTTGTATATTTAGGTATGGATATGTGTGAGCACATCTATACAGATATGTATGTATGTGTGCGTGTATGTATGTGTGTGTATGTGTGTGTATGTATGTGTGAATATACTTCAGTGGTTATGTTTGAGGGTATATGTATACACAACTTGGGAGATCCCTCTTCTGTACCCACCCATGTTTCTTTATCATCTCTTTAGATATGATACATATATTTTTACATATCTCTGTAGATATGTAAAAATACTTTTACATACCTGTGTCCCCACTTGTGTTTGTGAGTGAATGCATGTCATTTATGAGTATATCATGTGAATATAGCCTATTTTAAAGAGTAAATGTGGCTAAGTCTAATAGAAATGTGCCTGTGTGTGGATAAATAAAGGTATTTGTACATCTGCCTGTCTGATATGAGATTTGGCCTTGGTCTTGTACAGACTGACCTCTACACAAACTTCCTACCCAAATACACCCAGCTTTCATGTCGTCTACACCGTATGCATGCACCCACACTGCACTGTAGTCTCTTCCGCATGCTCACCAATGACCACAGGGGGCTGTGATAAAACTTTGAAACAAAAATCTCCCTTCCTTTCTCACCACTGGCAAAGGCACAGGGCAGGACAGCATCATAATAGTGCCTAGGGTTAGTAAAAGCTTTGGTTGGAGTGTGTGTGTGTGTGTGTGTGTGTGTGTGTGTGTGTGTGTGTAAAGGAGAGAAAGCGACAGCTAAGATGAGAAAGTACAAATGTGCATCTGGACATTTCACATAGAACACCCAAATAACGCCACCACGCAGAAATGTAGATGTCAATAAATATGCATAAGTGAAAGTATATCTTTAAAAAGTACTAGATATGGGCGGGGTGTGAATATGTGGAGTGTATATATGTAAGAGATTATATGTATTTCTGGGTAGTGTGTGCATGTGAGATAGTTGTGTGTATTAGCAAGGGAAGGATTCTTTTAAACACAAAGATATACATACATCCCACCCAAATATTTTCAACTGTCACACAAACAATCTGTGTATGCCTCTACACAAACTCACTACCCAAATACACCCATGCCTTCTTCTCCTCCACACCATATGGATATACCCAACCCACACTCTGCACAGTACTTCCCACACAAATGTGCCTTAAAAACATTCTGCATACACACCATCCAGTTTACATCAGTAGACTTGGTGACCATGAGAGTGTATGTATTGGAATTATACATGTTTATGAGATGTGGATGTATCCTGATGTTATATCAGAGAAAGTGTATGGGTACATTCGGGCTTGTGTGTGAGACCATGTGTGGGCGCATTTGGAATAGAATGGATTTGAATGTAGGTGTGTTTGAATAGTAAGCAGGTCAAAGCATGGATATACTTAGGTGGCAAAGTGTGTGTGTATGAAAGAGAGAGAGACAGACAGACAGACAGACAGACAGAGACAAGACAAAGAAACAAACAGAAAGTATTAATGCACATAGTTCTCTGAATCATGTTAGGTTAGAATTTGGGTGATATGTGAATGTGTGTGTCTCTGAGTGTATGTATTTGGCTTTGGAAACTGTGAATATATCTAGGTGGTGTGTGTTAGTGCAGTGTTTTTAGAGGGTACATGTATCACTTTGGTTGTGTTTTGGTAGTATGCATTTGAAAGAGATTATAGGTACACCTAAGACAGGTATGAGTGCTTCAAGTTGGGGTGAGGGTAAGTTTAAGTGTATCTAAATTCTGTATGTAAGAGTGTGGGCATGCTGAGTTGGAGATTGTATAAGTGTGACTTTAATTGGATAGAGTGACTGTAAGTGTAAGCATATTTGATGTGCATATATATGAGAATGGATTATGTAAATGGGATGTATATGAAAGTGTGGGCGTATTGGTGTTGGGTATATGTGTGAAAGTAGATGTATCTGAGTAGTGTGTGTGAGGAGGATGAATGTGTATATATCTGGGTTTGGGGCTTGTGAGAATATGGGTATATCTAACTAGGACATATTCAGTTCTCTGGATGGATAGGGAAGAGAGAATCTAAGCGGTGCATGTGAGGGGAAAATGTATGTTTGTGTGAGATGACTGAATCTAGCATGTGTGCAGGTATATCTGGATAGTGTGTGGTTCTATGTATTTCATTTGGGAAGATATCTAACGTGGATTTATGTAGCTATTTTATAGGTGCTGTATCTAGATATTTTGTGTATTCAATAGTGGTCATTTATGAGTAAAATTTGTGATTGTGACCACGTATGTATATATTTTCTTGGGCATATATATCTCTGCTAAAATGTCTGTAATGTGAACTTGTCCATAACTTGGTATGAATGATCATTTGTACCTAGGTGCATTACTAAATGGGAACACTGGCTTGTATATGCACATGCTAGAAATTATATATATATATAATTTCTAAATGTGAATTTAGAATTTATTTTTGAGGTGAATTTATTTCTAAATGTGAATAAATTGAATCTGCAAGTTCTCTAGAGACAGCCTTTGGGTTTACTGTTTATTAGCTGTGTGGTTTGCGTAAATCACATAACCTCAACAAAGCCCCAGTCTCTTGTCTGTAAAATGGAGGAAATAAACCTATCTATCTTGCAACGTTAGGATAGGATGAGTTAATACACTGAGAGTGCTTGGAACAGTGCCTAGCACATAATGAGCCCTCTCATGAGGAATTACTTATTACAGGTAACAACAGTATATTACCTGTTTTTATCATCTGTGTATACCTGTTACAATTATCCCTGTCCTAAAAGCTAACAGTGTGCATTCATCTACAACTGCAAAGGAGGTTTTAACGTGCATATTTGACTCATTATATGTACTATGTGTATGTCCAAGAAAATGGGCTTAGCTTCTTTTTATGTAAGAGCGTCTTTGTACATGAAAATTGGTTAATAGTTGTAATGAATCTCAGTGTTCATATAGAAACAAAGATGTGTGAGAAAGAATGTGCTCAAGGGTAAATGGAAGGACATTGAGCTTTTTGCGTATATTTGCTAGTATACACTTCTCTAGGTACGTGAGTACACACTCCCATATGTGTGATAATGTAGCATCTGTGAGAATATGGGTATATACATATATGAACATGATTCTGTGTACACACATGCCGG